TAATTTTTTGTTTATTATTAATTCGTATTAATTTGAACCCCCCTCGTATATATGGAAATGGTCCGATTTAAAAAAAAACAGTATGTAAAATGAAAGATGTAAATAAATACTACTCCTCATGAAAAAATCGTACTGATCCTTACATNGATGTAAATAAATACTACTCCTCATGAAAAAATCGTACTGATCCTTACATTTTTCAAAAAGTTATAGCATAATAAAGTTAAAAATATAAAATACAAAATCGAAAATTTTCACACAAAATTAGCACTCAGTAGCCATTTTCACCGTCAAGACAAAATAAAATCCAAATTTTTTTTTTTTTTCATTATAAAGTATATTACATTAGCTTTAATTTAAGATATATATAAAAGTGTCAGACCTTCCGAAACATTTTCAAAAGTTAAGTTGAAAAAGTTAATTTTTTGTGAAAAAGTTGTCATTTTAAATCCCCTATTGTGGGCATGTTAAGGGTTAAATTTTAGAAAAAAATATACCAAATGAAAGGTAAAGATATTATGCATCTATATAAAAAAGAATTATATTGATATGTTCATTTTTTTAAAAAGTTATAGCATTATAAAGTTAAAAATATAAAAAAGAATTTTTTTCAAAAAATTGAAAAAATATCAAAAATTAGGGATTTTTAAATTTGTAATTTTTTGGGGGATTTCCCCCGTTTACGGGGAACGAGGGAATTGTTTTCAATTTTTGAGAGTAATGTCTTCGACTAGATACGATTTGTGATCTTTTGACATATTGTTCATCTAAATCGGTTCAGCGAGAGCTGAGATTGAGCGTTCACATACACAAAAAAAACAAACACATCATAGTAAAATTAATACCTTCTCAGCTTCGCATCGAAGCTAAAATGAACAAACGTCCACATTTATCTTGCTGACATTTTTAATCGAAAAGAATCTATACATTTTGAGAGAATAGGTGGTGAAATATTGTTTAGTTTATCTAAAGTGAATAATTGAACTGTAACTGTTAGATATTTAAGTATGTAACACATATTATAATGACACACCCCTTTAAAAATATTATGCATTATATTTGCACAGAGGTTATAAATTACATGAAAACTATTAATTTTGTTAAGAATAGACTCTTTGTAAACACCAGATTCTTTAAAATTTAAACTGACTGTAATTATATCATAATTATCAACAATTCTAAGTAATGATGAGTTTTCAATAGACATAACTTTAATAAGTTCTTTATGTGCTTTACACAAATGACAAAAAAATTGGCTGAAAAAGATTTACTAAATTCTAAAATGCTATTGACATCAAGGTTATCTCCTAAAGCTAAACCAAGAATGAAATATACTATGTATTGTCCATCGTCATTTGATATGGTTATTCCTTCTTATTCAACCTAATTAATTTCATTAACTAATTTAGTTAAACATTTATCATTGCTAAACATTTTAAAATCGACTCATTTTACTAAAGATGCTAAAAATATGTTAGAAAGCATAAAATTATTATTATGAAGCGGAAAGTTATAATAAATTGCAACAATTGATTGAAATTAAGAATGCGAGCTCCTAGAGGATTATTAATTTCCAGATCATCAACATATAAAAAAAATGGGAAAACAATTTCTCCTTTATACGGTACAAATGTTTTTTTCCTAAGTTCACCTTGTATAAAATTTGATATTTTATCTGTTTTATTTGTTTTTAAATCATTCGTATTTTTTAATATTTTTTTTATAATTATTACCATGATTAAACATTTTTTTTAAATTGAAACCTTAAAGGCAGTAACACTGCTCTGGTGTGCTCTTCATTATATACTGCTGTGCCATTTACTTGTACTATTTTTATTTCATTATTTATAGTAATCTACGTTATATTTATGTTATTTTGTAATGAAATTAATAAATGATCATTACAAAAATGATAAAAATGACTTTTTATATCTGAAATAACATGAAAAAATTTAGCTTTTATTAATGGTTCATCAATTTCAGTTTTAACAACTTTTTTATGCATATTAGCCATTTATTCAAAAATTAAATCTTTTAAAAGTTTTTGTATAGTAGTAATATCTTTAAAAGTAAAATTATTATTTGTAAAGAAAATTCATAAAAAATAAAACTGATGATATATAAATGAATTAATATATTCATTTAAATCTAAATTATTTTCTTTTTATTATTGTTGCAGCGAGTTATTTGTAGTCGCATATAATTTCCAATCCAATAAAAAGTAACCTGTTTTACACATATATGTGGGGAAGTCGTTCGCTGACCGGTGATAGTCGTAGACACAAAAGTTTTACACAAATTAATTAATGTTTTTTATTTTATACTGTTAGTTATTAATATATAGTATATTGACGACGAGTTCGTCGTTTCAAGCTCTTCTCGAGTCCTCCCGTTGGATAAACTAGTCAGCCCCAATTCCTTAAATTAGTGAACTACTAAAGGGGTAGAGATTAGACCCGTCAGAACGGTTTAGCTCAAAAGTAGCAAATTGAAGAGTGGCTCATTGTCAGTCACCAGTACAACTAC